TTTTTTGATATTTAATGGATCGGATTACATTTTTTATTTCTCTCCGATATCCGATCCAGTAATTTAGGTCGGTATCGGACCGATATGTAATATCAGATCGGTCCATCTCTAGTTTAAATATGTAAAAGAGCTTGGATCCCCTCTTAATGAACTCTACTAAAATATAAATTACTAAACATACTTGAACATACTAAACTATATCTTCAGCTGTTTGTTATAAAAATGAGTATATTATTAAAGTAAATGGGTGCTAGCCTTTTATCTCTTCTAAGAGAAAAATCATTTCTGCACTTCCACTTCAGCCGTGTGCTACCTTTAAATGATCTGGACTCTCCATGACTTTGTCTCATCGCTCTACATCTGTTTGTATGTCAACACCCGCCCATGCCTGGCTCTACTTTACTCTTCCTCAGCCAATCAGCAGCACTTGTGCAATTGTTTCACCCTCCCTAGCTCACGGTAAGATGAAGACGGCTTCAAGCATCTGTGTGTTGAAAAATAGTAACGCGACCGCATTTTCTTGTTAGTAACGGTTACGGCGTTGTAATGATAGAGAAAGTAATTGGTTAGATTACCAGTCGCTGAAAAAAGTTACTTTAATGGCCTTATTCTCATTACTGTGAAGAACATGGCTGCTGGTTTGTGGTACCCCAGATACTCCACCTTCCTCCGTCACTTGGTTTGGCTGTGAGTCTGGCCTGCCTCAGAGACTCCAGGATCGTGGCCACCTGCTCCACATTCAGATGTCGTTGTGGATGATGTTATCTGGGGAGGTGCAGGAAAGTGTCTGGGATTCCGAATAAGCCAAATGCATTAGTCTGTGTGTGGACAGGGAAGGCCAGCTAACCAAAGAGTAAAAAGTCCAATGGTGAATTTCAGCGCTGCACGATAAAGCCGTGTCTGTAAAAGAGCTCATGGGAGTGTTCGTATAAGTAATCTCACCATCATCAACGTGAGGTAAGAACGTGGTAGCAAAGTTGTTTTTGATTTATTTCTATAGAAGAACACTACTTTTAATCTGAGCTTGTTTTAAAATTAATTTTAATCTGAGACACATTCATCTATTAAAATAGCTAGGTGTTTATAACCACACAAATTCAATTAGGCAGCCTTGTGCAGACATAATAGCAGGTATTTCTTTTAGTTTGCAGACAACATGCGCTTCATTTTGTCAGCATTCAGTACGAGTTTGAGATGGAACAAATGTGACCGAATAATGTCAAATGCAATCTGTAGATGATCAAAATCCAGGGCAATTGAGTTTGTGTGATAGTAAACAAAAGTGTCATCAGCGTAGAGATGCAGCAGATGCATTCTGCTCCAAATTATTAATGTAATCTGCAAATAGTGTCGGTCCTCATACAGAGCCTTGAGGTGCACCTTTTGTGGATAACAAGAACAATGGTGGACTGCATCGTGAACACACTGCTTATGATCAGAAAGATAATTTGAAAACCAGTCAGTAGCTTGGTCTGGAAAGCCAATATCTAAAAGTCTGTGACATAACAGCTTATGATGTGTCCAATGCTTTTGACAAATCTATAAAAAGTGCCACACAGTAAAAGCTTCCACAAAGTCACTTAAAACTTTAATCGAAGCTGTGACAGTGCTATGTTGCTTTCTGAAACCAGACTGATCGGGGGAGAGAATATTATCCAAATATTTCTGTCATTCACCAGTTTCTCAGGTGCTTCAGCTAGGATGCAAAGTTTAGAAATGGGTCGATAGTTATTAACAAGTGGGATCGCAGTCTTTAAGTGAAGGTAGTACAAAAGCTCATCGCTATATCAGGGACAGTATTAGTGACGCTGGTCGGGCTCTAAGGCCTGCACCAAGGTGTTGTAGCTGTTGTTGGCTATTACAGCCAAGAAACTGAGCACCGCACAGATTTAAAGTTAAAATTTCAAATTGTTTCGAAAAAGATTTAGAAAGCCTCATTCGCACTGAAAAACTACATTTAACATACGTTGCTACTACACCACCTTTTCTTGGACGGTGAACACCATATCTATCTTGGCAGGTAGGCATTAACATGTAAAATATGTAACCCAGGCATGTTTTTGAAACTACTCAGGTGGGCCAGGATTAGGCTGAATGCCAGACATGAAAAGAAGCATGGCAGCTAAACATATCTGTGTATAACAGTTCATAGGGCTGCACTGCAACAGGTATTGGTAATGCAGCAGTTTCAAAAGAGCAGACATCAAGGGCCCAAAGGCAGCACAGCCAGAGA